AAGGATGGAAGGCTGAGTCAACCCTGAGCCGGTGAGATTTGAACCGCTGAACTGCTGATCTAGCAGTAGCCTGCAGTGCTGCATTTAACCACTACACCACCACGGCTCATCTTCATCACCTTTATCAGGTGATAAAGATGCACCCATTGTATGTAAAAGAAGAGTGTTTACGTGTTTGTGTGTGTGTACACACACTCACACACATATATTGATCTGTTCTCTTCTGTAATTTAATCCAAGCACATCTATTTACATATAGATAACAATTTTCCCTTGTGGTTGCAGATTGTCCAGAAGAGCTTATCAATCATCAGGCAAACAGTGTAGGATAGCATGTGTAGGATAGCAGAAGTCTTGCCGTTACTGTCTTTCCTGTAAAATATTGGGAAATGCTGAAAAGAGTCCTACCTACCACAACTTCCTCCAACCAGGCACCTTAGAAAGTACCAATAATCCGTAGTAAGAATGGGGATAATGGAAGTTTTAGGAAAAAAATACATTTGAACAACCAAGGTAGGGGGAAAAAATGTCTTCATACATGCTGGTTGGTTTGGTGGGTTGGCAGATAAATCCAACTGACCAATTTGGCATGTCCAAACAGAAACCTTGGGCTGGGCCCCAAACTTTCTGCAACATGCAATACTTCACGGCGTCTTCAGGCGGCATGACTACACCTCCAACATGAAAGGAATTGCTCTTTCCCTGCCACGGTGACACCACCTCACCAGCAGATGTTTGCCATTTAAACAGGCTGCTTTAGATCCAATAAAAGGGCGTCCTCTTTCATCTCTGGTTTGATCAGGTTCTTCTCAGGAGGCATCATTACGTTCTCGTCTGCCTGAGAAAGGTGTTTTGATCCGTCCCCTTTGTCCTTCTTCACTTTCATTATCACTTCAGTGTAGGAAATTTCTTCGGTGGTGGGTTCGGCTTCCCTACTTTCTGTCGCTGTTTCAGTGCCGGATTCTTGAGTTCCTTGTTGGCCATCAGTAGGTTGCTCTGTAGTTTTCCTGTTCTTTTTCAAATTCTTCTTCGTTGGCGCTGCATTGGCAATGTTTTTCTTGAACCGTATCCCAGTCTGTCTCAGCCTCTCTCCTGACTGCCTTATTCGTTCCCTTCTCTCAGGTGTTACTATTCGAGTACGAAGCCTATCCACTTTATTGCCAAAATTTTGCCTTGTTTTCTGAAGGTTCTCTCTTGAAAATGCTTTTTTGATGACGTTGATGCGCCTCATCCCCGATTTCTTAAAACGGGCTGTTCGGCTTTCTTCTATGTAACACTCCTCATCAGAAGAGAGATCATCGGGTGGGCAGAAGGCATCTTCGGTGCTTTCCCCTTGTGTCCGCTCTTTGACAACCGTCAGAGAAGATGGGCACTGAATGTCTTCCTACAAGTAAGAGCACAATGTTACGTCTCTATCACACTTCTCAAAAACAGCTCAAAAGTGAATTTAGAAAATCCCAGATATTTGTTGCTTCAGTCATTCTACTTTATGCTAAATTTTTCAGAACATTCACAAAGATTCAATAGCAATAGCAATAGCAGTTAGACTTATATACCGCTTCATAGGGCTTTCAGCCCTCTCTAAGCGGTTTACAGAGTCAGCATATTGCC